TATTAGAAATATCCTTGAATCGAATTAAATAAATGAATTCTTTTAAAGTGTTTCCTAAATGAGTGAAATTTTGAATCAGCAGCATTGTTATTAACACCCGGATGTTTTGCCAATCCCCATTTAAGAATGTTTTCCCAGATTTCCATTTCGTCGACAACTAAATCATCCCTTTTAAGAATTTCTAATAAAATCTGTTTTTCAAATGAATCGTATTCCGTTGACTTAATAATTTTTCACGATTGGTGCAAATGTCTTTTAAGCAAATATTTTTTAGTTCGTCGAATTTGCTGTATGAATAAATTAATTGAAGAATTTTGATTGGATTTTCTTTGATGTAGTCCTTTTTATCATTAACAAAATATTTCATAGTGTATTTGTAAAGTGATTCGAGGTCAAGCTCATCTGCAGCAATCAATAATTTTAATATTATATATTCATGTTGTTGTAAATTATAAATTATAAATTAATAGCAACAAACTTACTTCAAACTAGAGTGATGACAACCACCACCATCCTTATGATAAGCACTTCCTCATTTTGCACCTTATTATTTTCTTTTTTGATTCAATCATTTTGACTTCTTCACCCATTATGGATAATAAATTTAATGTTGAGATAATCAATAACAAATTATTTGCCTTAGAAGCAAAAATATATGAGAATAATAAGGAAGATTACTGCTTTTGACGCTTTCATCACTTTCGTCACTTTCGTCACTTTCGGCAAAAGTACTTATCATTTGCCTGAATACTTTCTACCTCCAAAATACTTTTGGCACCCAACCTTGATTCATTATTCATAATCGCTATGACTAAATGTATGGGCATAATTAGCGATAGTTTGGAAGATGATAAATGTTCCTTATGCCAAAATGAAATAAGACTTGGTGTTGATGAAATTGTAATTCAGAGATGCTGTCATTTTTTCATAATAATAATAATTGTTTTAAACATCAAGAATACCCAGAATGTAATTTTCGTATGATAAATGTTTCCTATGATAATAATAATATTGATACTAATACTATAAAGGATGTTTCATATAATACTAGTAATACTAAGAAACAAAAAAAAAAACCAATAAAAACATTACTTGAAGAATTGACCGTTGGAGAACCCGAAGTAGAAGTTATTGAAGGAGTTTAAAGACAACGAAAGTTTAAGATTGGTTCATTTGTATACTAAAGCAGGAAAAATGCAGAAAAACCATCATCGGAGCGAGACAATCAAAGATTATAACTTGGTACAATTTCTTGAAAGAATTTGAAAAAAATGTGAAAAAATTAAAAGATAATGATGGCATTACGGATAAGGTGCAGGGAACCATGTATATTCAGCTTTTAGAAGTCATTTTTCTGGTATTAATGACCATAATTTGTACAGTAAAGTTTTGAAAGCTAAAAAAATCTGCATACTATTTAACGGAATTGGTGTCGATTAAATCAATCTAGATTCGTTTTATAATTTATCATAGGTTATTATAAATAAGTTCACTTTTTGACCAAGCAAAAAATAACCGGTTGGCTAACTAACTAGTTAATTAATTATTCGATGTTTCAGTGCTTTGCTCATAAAATCAGGGGGAAAATTTACATTAGTTTGACGTTTTGTAAAATAAAATGATTCTTTTTCGCTTAATAAAACACTTTTGTGGTCGGGAATTGAACCGTGGGTTTAATTGTCCATTTTTCATCCAGAGTGGTTATTTGCTCTTCCAAGAAAGCAAAGGTCTGGCAACGTTGATTAACCAGTGTAGTGTTAACAACGGGTAGTAGGTTTTTGGAGCAGAGGCTTAATTTCGGTTTACGTTTTTTGTTTTTGTAAACGTTTTTGATTTTCTTTTTGTAAAAGTAAGTATTATAGTGTTCAAGCGATAAACGTGAGGTGCTAAACTGTTAGCAAATGTATAAAGTTTTAACACGTTGTTATCGATTAACCAAATATAAAGTCGGTATCGCATATTGTGTTAAAATAATTGTTGTGAACGTACGGCCGTTAATAGAAAAGTAGTTTAAATTAACTAAGATTTTTAGAAAAGCTTTTGTCGTTTTCTAAAAGGACCATATGTATTATCTATTGTAAATCATACCATAAAGTGCCCTTACAGATTGCCAAAGCTTTTTAGGTACAAGCAAGCAGAAAATGGTTTAAAATAAATTAATTTGCGAGCATTGAATATATATAAAACTTGCAATTAATCAACGAGTGTAGCTAAAAAGTTGATTCAAATTCAGTATCAACCAAACAAAAAAGCTACCTACCAATATATAGCCGTTAATTATAGATTACCCAAAACAAAAAATGAACTAAATGCTTTCATAATTTTTGTGCACAATTTAAAAAACTTGCCTTTTGTACCAATTATATTAAAGTTGTACAAATTAATTTTATTATTTTAATAAAAAAAAATGTCAACTTTAAATTTACCACTTGAAGTTTTATTTGACATATTCAAATACATTAAAAGTGATTATAAATCATTATACTCTTGCATCCTTGTCAATAAACAATGGCACAATATCAATATTTCAACCTTATGGAGAAATCCATTTCGTTCTATATTCAGTATTCAAATATTAATTAATTGTTTATTAATAGAAGATAAAGATTTTTTAATAAAAAATAACATTGAATTAACTTTTCAACTATTGGAGAAACCACCATTATATAACTATGCTAAATTTGCAACTGAATTGGATGATTCTGGATTGAGGACAATTATTTGTAGAAATCCAATTATAGCTAGTTTAAAAGAAAGATTAGTGTATTTTATTTTAGAATATTCAAATATCAGGAAATTTATTGATATTGATTTAACCAATTCAATTTTTGTTCATAATATCACTACCACTTGCTTTCAAAATCTTTGTCAATTACATTTAATAATTAACAATAATTTAAAATTTATTGATAAATTAGCAAATACTTGTAAAAAGATTCAAGTTTTAAAAATAAATTTCAGATTTTCATATGGTAAAAATATTAATATTGACTATAGACTAGCTCAACTAATTAAAGCACAGTATAAAATTCGGAAGTTAACTATTGCTTCACGCCATGGTTTTATTTTATCAGGTAATTTTATGAAAGCAATTTTAAATCATTCACAATCAATAATTGATTATTCTAGCATTGGAAAAAATAATATAGATCCTATAATAATACCAACATTTCATAATTTAAAATTTTTAAAAATAAATATTGTAAAAAAATGATGTAAGTTATTTGAAAACTACTCTACTTCCAAATATTGAATCTATAGATTTGGTTATAATTTGTGGTCAGCAAACATCAGACTTATCAGAATTCATAAAAAACAACAGAAGCAATCTTAAAATTTTGAAAGTTCGGTTTAGGTGGACAGATAATGAAGATTTGAGCAAGCTTCTTCAATCAATTGCACAATATTGTCAACATTTGGAACATTTATCAATTGTTTATGATGATGAATTAGACAAACAATTAATTTCAATATTTATTAATTGCATTAATTTAAAATCTATTGGACTTAAGAAAGTTGGTGTTGGTGAGTTGGATGGTGATAGAATTTTAAAAGCCTTAAATCAAGCATTACCAAAAAATTTAAATACTATATCTGTTTATTATATGGGTACTATTTCAGATAGTTCACTGGAAATTTTAATGAAGAATTGGAAAGGATCTAAACCTTTTAGAATAAATTTAACAGGTGGTTCATCAAGAATTAGACTAGGTAATTTATTAAAAAAATATCAAGAATTGGGATTTTTAAGATAATAAATCATCAGTTCATAAATTTTATTAATAATATATAAATATGAATTATTTTTTCTTGTGTAACTTTTTTTAATAAAAAATTGTTGATGTTTAAATTTACCACTTGAAGTTTTTAACTGATACATTCAAATACATTAAAGATACTCTTGCATTCTTGCTATAAACAATAGCACATATACTGAACCAATGTTAATTAATTCTTGAACAAATTCTCAAAAATCTTTACCAGATACTATTTCAAATGGTCTCAAATCACAACAGACAAAATTTATTTATTAATTCTTTAACATTTGCTGATGCTCCATTTTTTTTTGCAAAAATGAAGTAATCTTTGATTGATTATCTAAGTTGCAACAGCTATGTCTTTGTAAATTTGAGGTTCCTAGTTTATAATTATATTTAGTTATATAGTCACGATTCCTACAAACAATATACCCAATCATCTTGTCATCCAAGTCAACTAGCAAACTTATCCCAAATGTCACTTCTTCCTCCTTGTTTCTCTTTTAAAAATAGTTATCCTGCTCTTAATTTAGATCTTATTTGATCAATAATCAATGTATCTGATATGGTAGATATTATATACCAAAATAATATTATTATTGTTGCTGTAATAATTAAAGATGTGTATATTTATTTTTGGAAATTTTATTTCAAAATTCACGCGCGTGAAATATAATAAAAACTTTTGAGTATTTTGGATAACAAAATTCTGAATTTCATTCTAATATAATATTAATAATAATTAATCTTTTCGGGTTGCGCAAACGTCCGGATCATTCAAACTCGTACCCATTCATATTCACAATAAAAATACACTACAGCCATCCACACCCGTACCGCAACACAGGTATGGTCCTCTATGGAAATACGAATCAAAAATCTCTCTTATGTTGATATTTAGCCGATCTCCTTTTTTTCACTGATCTTTCTGGCGATGTTGAAGTTTGTGATCATCACATATCTGATGACACTGAAATCATTTCTGCTGAATCATCGGTAATGTGTAATATGTTACGCAAAGTGCATATGATTGAGTTTTACAAGTCAATATTATCTATATATATTAACAATTCAATTAGATATCTTTTAAAAAATTTTTAAAAAAAAAACTTTTTTTTTTCAAATAAAATAATTCCAGATTTGTTTTTACCCAATTATTTAATTATTTGGCAAAGCAGTTTTAAACTACAAAGACCTTGTTTTCAAAATGTCAGAATGAGCTTTAAAAGTTTTAATGTTCTCATCTCCTCCAACATTGATTTCATATAACAATCAGATTCATTCAACAAGTTTGATAAATCGCTTAAAAGTTTGCTAAACGTTTTAATGATAAGACATCTTTGTTGAAGTTGATAAGATTATTAACAAAAATATTGATCTTTTCCAAGGATGAAAAACCATTATTAGGCATATTGAAGAAGAATAGCTTTTTCAAAAAAAAAAAAAATAAACGACAAATTATTGTTGGTGATACAAAATGTTAAAGAAAATTATCTGGTGGGTGGCTCTTCTGATGCTAATTTAATTTCTGAAAAAGAATTTTGTATATAAAAAAAAAAAAAATTCTTGAAGGTTGTATTAATAATGTTCATAGAAAATTAGACGAAAGAAGATAAAATATATTCTTATCAGGTTTGCTGCGCATTTTCAGTTAAATCCCGATTACTATGATGATTTCATTATACAATGATTGTTATTTGATAATGGTGATCTCAAAAAAAACAATAAATATTTACAAAATAATATCCGTTTTTTTATAATAAACAAAAAAAAACAAATAAATATGTTAATATTAAGGGGAAAGAAAACTCGTGGAAGAGGGATAAAAACGATTTATAGCCGTTACCATAATTAGAAATCCATCAAGTTTTAGATTTTTTATGGCAGTAGTAATGTGTGTTGTAATGTAGATAGCAATGGTAATGGTAATAGTAACGGTAATAGTAATGGTAGTAGTAATAGAAATAAAATAAAGCAAAAATGGAATAATCAAGATACGCGTAATTTAACTAAATAGATTAAATAGATTAAGAAGTAGTAATAGGAAAATAAAAATGAAATTTTCCAAAAAAGAAGTATATAAAAATTTTACACAAATATGCATATTTAATTCAATGGCATAAATAAACAAAAACAGGAGAGATCAACAGTTTTTCGCTTATATATATACCTGATTTTTTATTTAGTAAGTGAAGAAAAAAAAACAAAAAAACAAAAAATGAATGTGTGGTGTTGATGTTGAAAAGTATTCAATTTTCTAAATATCATTCATTATCTTACCAATTTACTACTAACAAATTAACACTACTACTATTAATAATAATTACAATAATAATAATACTAGTAATAATTAACATTAATATTAAAGAAATATATATATATATATATAATATATATATATTATATATATATTGTGATAATTTTGAAAAATAATAATGATACATAGGAGGAAAGATTATGGTGATCAGAAATAATAATCATTATGATGTAGAGTATGTAATTTATGTATACATTATTTTTTTACAAGTGTGAAAGTTACAATGCTTTTTTAGATTGTGAAATAACAAACATTTACATTTATAATAAATAGTTATCATAATCAGGGGTTTGAATTTCTGAGAAATAATAATTCAAATATAAATCAATTTCACCAACAACATCAACACCAATATCCAAACCAACATCAACAACATTATAGTTATTCGCATCAACGCCACCAACAACACCAACAACAACAACAACAACAACAACAACAAAAACAACAACAAAAACAACAAAAACAACAACAACAACAACAACAACAACAACACTATCAAAATCCATTAGATTCATCCAAATCAGTTCGATTTAATCTTCCGGATTACATTATCGAACATTCAGAATCTAAACGTTCTAACCTAAATAAAATTCATCAATATAATAATAATAAATTAAGAATGATTTCACCCAAGGCATAAATTAAATTTACTAATATAATATAATGATATTATTATTATATAAGTTTACGTTACTTACTGTTGTTGTCGTTATTGCTATTCTGATAATTTTTTAGGATCTTTTAAAAAATCGAAATCAAAATGTTCCAGATGATGTAGATTTTAATATTTTAATTGAATTCAGGATTTCAAAATCATTAAAAAATAAGTTCCTATATTATAATGATGATGATGACGATGAAGAGAATTATCATGATTATTCATATTATCATTATAATAATTATAATTCTGAAGAAAAAGTAGATGAAAACAATGTAAATTTTATTATTTATTCATTATTTATTATTTACTATAATGAAACTTTAATTTATATTTTATTTATTATTTATAGACTGACGATGATGATGAGGAGGAGAAGGAGAAGGAGGAAGAAGAAGAAGAAGAAGAGGAATTAGAGACAGGTAATGATAAAACTACTGAAAGTGGACCAGAAGTCAGGGATGTGAATCGGCCACAAGAGCAAATTTGTTATCAAGAATATCATCAAATACGACAACAACAACTACGACAGCAAATATTAAGACAGGAAAAAGATGAACAATTAAAACAACAACAGCAACAAAGACTACAACAATTAAAACGGGAGCAATTGCAACAGCAGCAATTGAGACAGCAACCAAAATATCGGAACCAACAAAACGCTCCTTATATTAAGGTTAGACCTAGAGCCAAAGGCATTGGTAATGATAGTGGCGTTGGCAATGTTGTTAGTGTTGGTGACAGTAGTGGGCGTAGAGGTATAAATGGTGGTAGATCCAGCGGTAGAGGTACAAATAGTGGTAAATCCAGTGTTAGGACTAGAAATGGGGGACATTCTAACAAGCCATTGGTTAATCCTTTTACTACCATAGATATTGAATCTTCTCAAAAAACAATTGAAAAATCGTCAAAGTCTATGAATTATACGGATGTTATTACATTAATAATGTTATTATATCTTTATTCAGAGAATCCTTATCAATTTAATTTGTTGACAAAAGAATTAATTCGTTATTCTATTGTGATGAACGTTAAAGATTTAATTTTAGGTGACAGACTTCTTAATTAGGGGGGTTCTCGACTATTATTATTAATTATTATTGTATTGGGGATATTGTAAAAAGTTTTTTTTGAATTATTTTTTATTGGTGGAAAATACACATTATACATTTTTTGATTTTCATTCTTCCATTCTTTCATTCTTTTTTATTCTTCATTCTTTACTACTTTAAACGAGTATTCTCTTTTATTTTTTGTATGTATAAATTTATACATATATATTTTCACATCATAATTTATATATACAAATCACAAATACTCATATTATACATATATATAGTTTTAATTTACTTTTTCTTTGATGGACTGGGCTTAATTGTTTTAGGCAGGCTAAAATATAGATTTACAATTATAAATAATGATAATGATAATGATAATAAAATTAATAAAATCAGTAATGTAAAAAAATATATAAATATAATATTGATTGTATATTATTCTTTTAGCAGAATTAGCGTTACACTAATAGAATGTTGTTTATATAAACAAATAGAATTTATAGAAGAATTAGAAATTAGAACAAAAAAATTTTACAATAATAATAAATATTTAAAATTTTTTTATTCAATTTAAATTTAAATTTATCATATCGCTATCTTTGATAGTAATGGCTATATTATTTCTATGAATAACACATTCTGAATCAGTATAACCCAATTTCTCTGCTATTTCAGAACTTTTGCAACCTTTGATTCTAGAAATTTCCATGGAATTATAATTCACCAAACCTTTACCAATATTAATCACATTATGATTTTCTTTTTCATCTTTTACATCATCTACTTGTTGTTGTTCACCAACTTTTATTGGCCGATTCTCATAAACTATATGAACTGCTTGATTCGAACTAAAGTTACCCTGAACTTTTACAATTCCTGCAGAAAACAAACTACATTTTTGTCCTTTCTTTGAAATGGCTGTTGCTGCTCCTTTGTCGATATAAACTTTACCAGCTGTGTGTAATCCATGCAATATCCACCATTTATGACCTTTAATTGGATCTTCTTTTGCTAAAAATCTAGTATACAACGTCACCACCACCACCATCACATTTACCATATCATCCACAACAACAATATTATCCGCAACGATCACAACACCCGACACCTCCTCCTATGTTAACTACGCCAAATCCATTCACCAACGACAATTATCCTTTTGTACGACCAACTCAATTTAATTATGCGCCTAGGAGTCAAATGGGTTTGTATTCGCCTAATGGTAGATTGAATGGAGCTCAAAATAAACAGTACAACAGACCCATGGATCATACAAATCTTTATAGCAATTATAATATCAATAATGTGCAGAAAGTTAATAATGTGATGACGGGTCAAGATAATTCTGGTAATGGAAATGTCGAATCCAATGTTGCTGGAAGCAGTGGAGATGACAATAATAATGCAGATAATAATAATGCAAAATCATTGGTAAGAAATAATTCAAAAGAAGCTGACGGAACAGCAGAAAAACCAATAACATCAAATTTATCAACATCATCGTTAACCAACCATTAATTATTTAATTAAAATGAATTTTTTTTTCATGTATTTTTTATTCACATGTAAATAAATATTTTTATATTAATAAAAAGTTTTCTATTTTGTATCACATCATCACATCATCACGTCAATCACATCATAAAAAATGTCTCTGCGAACAGCTAGATCTTTAACAATAGTAATAAAACTTGGTACTTCGTCAATATGTGACGAGACAACGCATTTGCCATTATTATCGAATTTATCGTTAGTAGTTGAAACAATAGTGAAATTACGCTCCTTAGGACATAAGGTAGTGTTGGTTTCAAGTGGTGCTATTGGAGTTGGTTTAAGAAGATTAGAAATGGATAAAAAACCAAAAAAATTATCCGCCGTCCAGGTATTATTTATCCACGCACACGCACATACATATGTTTATATTATCAGACGGATTGGACGGGTGGGTTTATATTAATTTTGATTTATTAAATATTGGGTTTTTAA